CTCCATTTATCATATACTTTTATATCTCCGTTCTTTGATCGGTTATCATCAGGACATCTTGGAAGTAGCTTCATGTCGTGAAATGATGGAACAGTACAAAGCAAGAAAAATAATTCTTTCGAAACTAATGATGTAACGGTGTAATCAAGGAAACGATTAGTTGTTCAAGGTTTTAGTGCGAAATAGATAAAGAAAGTATGGTAAAAGCCTTTTTAGAATTGGTGGACGAAGTGCACAGTGTTTCGCAAGAACACCTTCAAATTCCTTCTCAATCTCCAACTTGCTCGCTCGCTATCGATCCTCAATCGACGCAAGAGGACGTCGCCAGTCGTAAGCCCAAGCTTAAACCTAAAATCAGCTGGAACGTGGAAAATAGTGGTCGTCTTCGCGCTCGTTACACCCGCTGCGTTGACGCTAAATAAAGGTGAATTTCGACGATATTCTAGGCTGCAGAGCCAGGTCAGGATTCTCGACGACCTCGTGGCGTACTCGTCTCCTTTCCCAGTTCTCCTCCTCCTTCTTGTTCCCGGTCAGGGACGAAATCAGTCTCTCTCTGTCTCGCAGCCGATTCTCTTTCTCCAGCGTTGGCGCTTCCTCTCGGCCTTACCGTGTCTCTTTTCCTTGGCCTGTGAAGGAGCTGCCAGCCAGCCAGCCAGCTCCTCTCGAGTCCTGTGTTGCAGAGAGAGCTCTGAAGCCGAACGAACGGACGTCCGGAGACGTAATTTCCTGCCCTCCCGGTGCAGCTCCCTTCCGCTTGCTTCTCTTTCTCCAGTCCGCTTTGTAAGCCACGTTCTCCGGGGGGTTGCCGGCGAAACTTCCCTCGTTTTCCGTGCTTCTGCCTTCGGCCCCTCTGTATGCACCCTCGAATTAAGGTCGAACGATGACCGTCCTACGTCAAAACGCGCCCGATGCAACCACGGCTTTGCGAAGATTAGGATTTGCTCTGTAGAAACTGCGCAAAGTTTGTCCTGTGTGTCGTGAAAGTAGCGGGATATGAAGCTTTGTTATTGGCTAGAAATGGAATCGCCCGAGGTTAGCTGTAACAGCTGTCTCTAAGCGTGATTAAATTTGCAAATTGAATCCTGTCTCTGGTATAATCGGTTGGCCAAGGGTTTGTGTCGTGCATTTGATATCGGACGCTGCTTTTTTTAAAGGGAATCGAGTGGAATTTCATTTTCGTCGATGGAAGAATTACATTTCCCGGATGAGTCTGTAGCTTCGTTAGCGGGAGTGACACAGCTAGAAAATATTAGTTGTGTTGGAAAATATGATGCAACAATATTGTTGTTTGTCAATAGAATCAGCGGAAAGGATGGCGTTTGTATAACAGGATCAAGTGTCGTTTTTATTATTTTCAGTTAGTTATAAGGAGCTTAAAGAATCGTTCGACACATATTTTTTAATGGTGTTATTGCAGCAAAGGAATAATACGTGAAATTGTGGATTTTGCATTGTGTTCTAAGTGTTTCTATCTTATTTATTATTATTATCGTCTACCGCTAAAGGTGGAAAAAGATGACGTTATCGTAAAATAGCTGTATAAATGAGATTTCATTGAATTTTAATTCCCCATCGATCTTAATTTAAAACTTAATTAAGAAGTTGAAATTAAAAGCAATACATTATAGCATGATTTAAAGTGAATGTTTTAAATATTATAGTTTGAAATTGCCGAGATAAGATCGGCAACGAAACGAAGTTAAAATGTAAATATTTAAAATCTTTAAAATAAAAACTTTAAGAATTTTCAAACTGTGTGCATCCAGTTGCTCTCTATTTTGTTTTTTATTTTTTTTTTAATTCTGTTTACACCTGGAGTTTTGCTCCCGAGGGTGGTGATACTTCGCAGCGTGTGCCAAGCTGGAATAAAGGCTGGGGGCGTTTTAATCTTGCCAAATGAAGTTTTCCTTAAGAACAATGGACGTGATCCTAGCTTGTTATACCTATGCAGTTCTGTGCAATTTGTACGCGACGCTGCCATTAGTGTAGCGTGTGTTGTGTGTATGTGAGAACATTATCATCATAATTAACATTGTTCCTGTATTAGCAACTTAGTTAAAATGATAACAGCTGGCGGTTGTATTGATATCTTCGGCTGCTACCTACAACGCCCGGTATTAATTATTAAAAACAATTGCAAGCAATGTGATGGTAGATGATTGAGGATAGTTGGTTCGACAAATTGAAACAACGTTTCTGAAGGTGGTTCTGAATATGGGGGAAAATATGTTACTGTAGAATTATTATAGAATTATATGAACGTTTTATCTTTCATAACGTGGTTTTATTTGCTACATTATCAACAGCGATTCACGGAAGGTGGTCAGATGTATTTAAACACCACTGAAAAAAGAATATTAATACACGTAAATTTAAATACACGTTCTCAATCAACGCTATATACGCATTGTTGTGAGATCAGTTGACATAATGATAATTCAAATTAACGAGAGTTTCGTTTCGCTTAAGATTCTCAAACTACGTATTAACTTGTCTTCTTAATCAGATCCTAAGCCTCATATATCTTATGTTGCGTTCCGTTCTAATTGCCAAGATTTTCCTTGACAAATTTTTCATGCATTATAAAGCTAAGGTACGTGCAGATAATCTAAGCACGAGCAAGTTTCACCTAACGTACCATTGTGCAATTATTTTTATAAACTTCACAATGCACCGTGATATTTTATATCGGCGAGTTGTGCAGGCAAACGACAGAAGTTGTACCATCTAAAAATTTGCATAAATGATATCTGATACGATAGTACACATTCGCACGGAACAACCAGTCGATTGTAATGTTTTAGTATTTCACCGTAAAGTATGGATATGGGGAAACGGGGTTAATAACGCTTTGTAGTCGGAGCAGTACGAAACGATCAGCTGGCTATGCCCGTGCATAGCCATTACGTGTAAAGGCCACTAAAATTACCCTGCTATGCGTTCTCTTTGTTACGCCATGCTCCCGATAGCTCGTTACTCAGCCATGATGGTGCAATTATTATGCCTACATACGGAGATATAAACACGAATCGCATTGTAAATTGCATCTCTGCCGCGGCTCGGCTAAGCCCGTCGTTGAATATTATATCGGCATCTGGATATATTGATAGTTGAGCGATAGTTGTAACCCTGCGAATTAGTCACCCTTTGCGGGATCAATAAATGGCCGATTATGTCAATTTTCTATATTGCCTTAACTAAGGCTTTAAGTATTGCCAACTTTACAAGAATTATCGTGTAGTCGATAGCGGTGTATCATTGGTTATCTGTTTGATGGAACGAGCAAAATTTGTGTCAGAGACAAGTGGAGCGAACATGATTCTCTCGTACACCCGCATATCTTTTATTTCGACATCCGATTCGCCGATACGCGTTTGGAAGTTACCACGTGAAATTAATTACTTGGTTTTCGATTCGCTGTGATCGAAGATGAGCATTTCGTTCTTGTGTATTTCAAATATAAAATTATTTGCGGGAAATATCGAAGAGAATGAATTTTTAAGATTACGTATATGTGTGTATATCAATAACGAATTCGTATCGGATAGATATTAATATTGCAAAGTATTATATTTTATAAATAAAATACAATATGTTTGGACAATATTTAGATCGTAAAATTTAATATTTAACATTTGAGATATTACAGTCCGTTAATTATGGAATCCGTTCTCGTTTAGCTTAGTGTTATCGAAATTACGAGTTTGCTGTATCGTGTTCAATTTATTTACTGACTATTACGAAAACTCGTGACTGTTTCACTGCAATCATATAATCCTTTCTATGTTCGACATTCACACGTTGTATAATACAATTTTGAAAATTCATTTGCAGTACACGAAGTTAATGTCGCGTTCATAAACTACGTGCAGGATTATTATTTTTCAGCATTAATTTTACTTTACTCCTCTAATTTAACGATAACAGTGTTATAATAATAACAATGTTAGACAAACTGGAACCCAATTTATTCTGCAAGTGGTATCACGTCATAATACAATAATAACGTAGCAATAATAACGTCCTGGAATAATTTCGGCTGGTGGTTGAAAGCGCGAACCAATTTCCGCAAAACTGAAATCTGCCTTACTGCACGTAAATGTTCAACGTAGACTATCGTGTTTGTATGCAACAACGAACTGTGTATTTTTAACCCTCTATGATGCTATGTGGTTTTTTTGGAAACGACATTCGTGTATCTATATTTTCAGAATTTTATTTTACTTATTCATCGCTCTCTCAGTACAATTTTTGTTATCATATTGTTGTATCGGTACCGAATTGTTGCCTATAACAATCGGTTTCTATTTTTCAAACGAAAAATGTAGGCAAAACTAATCCTTTTTTTTCGAAAGGAACATAGGAACATTGCAAATTTACAAAGGATTGGCATATTTAAACACCAGAAATCCATCGAAAAGTCCAGACGGAATCGATATATTCTTTCCTGCAACGACGATCTTCCTAGCTACGACCATTTATCTCTATTACTCTCTTTATTATATTATTACGATACTTTCATCAAAAATATTTGCTCGCGTATACATATATATTTGCTATTCTGCGAGATATAACTTACCGCGACCAAAGGAAATTGTTCCTTCCAGCGTGAAGGGACATCGATTTATGTGCAGCTAAATTCGATTAACCCCCGCTTTAGAGCACTTTGAGGTGATTTAAGGCACGATGGCACTCACGAAGCCACGACAGCGTGGAAGACGACGGTGGACGTGTGCGGCTTCTCGCAGAATATACGAGTGGCGAGAAGTCGTGTTACGAAAACTAATTCGAAGTTACAGCAAACTTGATATCACGCGGCGTACGATATACGCTTTGCCTCTCTACTGCCGCTTTGTTGCTTGTAGTAACGTGTTGCTTGATTATTCGAAGACGAGCATTATCGAAACCTATCTTCTCGAGTAACGCAGATTCTATGGTGAAATTAGTTTAATTTTTCTTTTTTTTTTCCTTAATCGGAGATCGTCAGCAACGCTGTGCAGTTGTTCCTTTATATCTAAATCGTTAACTAACAATTCGATGTGAGTAGAAATTGTGTGAGAATTATTAAGTTTTACTTCTGAATTTAATAGATTGTTCACGCTGTTTGGTAGATTTACTATTTTTCTCGCAGTGTCGTAGTTTTTGCATCTCGCTTATTTTAAACGCGTATAGCCGCAAATATTAATGTACAATGAAACGTTAAATGCGCAACGTTCCTACTTACACTACTTTCCTATAGCATCCTATATAATAAATTTTTGCGTAGATATTCAGTTGTATAATTAATTAATATCGATTATTTTCTAATATAATTAATATAATAAGTTAATATCGATTTCGAAAACGTATTTCACTTCTGCGATTTCAAGTTTCGAACTCATTTAAATATGCAACAAATTCGAATTCGCTTCTCTTCAAGATTCAATGGACCAAGTACGATATAGGACACGTAACAAACAAATTATATCTTCTTCTTCTTTCGATTAAACTTGAAAGTAGGTATTAAAGAAAAACGTGACATATTTCAAAGAAGATTACCTTTTCAGAGCGGCGTTATTTCCACTGTATAATTTCCTAATAAAAGAGAATCATAAACGGTGCGCAGCAATTTCAGCGCGTTCCCGGCTTAGCCGGCGGATTTAATCGTTTCATCTAAATTATAATTAATGCTTCTAATCTCGGGGCCAAAGGTGTCTAGCGGGCAAGGCAGCGAGGACGGATTTCAACCGTAACGTCGTGCCGCTGCCGCTTTGCCGCGGACACGAAGTTAATGTCGCGTTCATAAACTACGTGCAGGATTATTATTTTTCAGCATTAATTTTACTTTACTCCTCTAATTTAACGATAACAGTGTTATAATAATAACAATGTTAGACAAACTGGAACCCAATTTATTCTGCAAGTGGTATCACGTCATAATACAATAATAACGTAGCAATAATAACGTCCTGGAATAATTTCGGCTGGTGGTTGAAAGCGCGAACCAATTTCCGCAAAACTGAAATCTGCCTTACTGCACGTAAATGTTCAACGTAGACTATCGTGTTTGTATGCAACAACGAACTGTGTATTTTTAACCCTCTATGATGCTATGTGGTTTTTTTGGAAACGACATTCGTGTATCTATATTTTCAGAATTTTATTTTACTTATTCATCGCTCTCTCAGTACAATTTTTGTTATCATATTGTTGTATCGGTACCGAATTGTTGCCTATAACAATCGGTTTCTATTTTTCAAACGAAAAATGTAGGCAAAACTAATCCTTTTTTTTCGAAAGGAACATAGGAACATTGCAAATTTACAAAGGATTGGCATATTTAAACACCAGAAATCCATCGAAAAGTCCAGACGGAATCGATATATTCTTTCCTGCAACGACGATCTTCCTAGCTACGACCATTTATCTCTATTACTCTCTTTATTATATTATTACGATACTTTCATCAAAAATATTTGCTCGCGTATACATATATATTTGCTATTCTGCGAGATATAACTTACCGCGACCAAAGGAAATTGTTCCTTCCAGCGTGAAGGGACATCGATTTATGTGCAGCTAAATTCGATTAACCCCCGCTTTAGAGCACTTTGAGGTGATTTAAGGCACGATGGCACTCACGAAGCCACGACAGCGTGGAAGACGACGGTGGACGTGTGCGGCTTCTCGCAGAATATACGAGTGGCGAGAAGTCGTGTTACGAAAACTAATTCGAAGTTACAGCAAACTTGATATCACGCGGCGTACGATATACGCTTTGCCTCTCTACTGCCGCTTTGTTGCTTGTAGTAACGTGTTGCTTGATTATTCGAAGACGAGCATTATCGAAACCTATCTTCTCGAGTAACGCAGATTCTATGGTGAAATTAGTTTAATTTTTCTTTTTTTTTTCCTTAATCGGAGATCGTCAGCAACGCTGTGCAGTTGTTCCTTTATATCTAAATCGTTAACTAACAATTCGATGTGAGTAGAAATTGTGTGAGAATTATTAAGTTTTACTTCTGAATTTAATAGATTGTTCACGCTGTTTGGTAGATTTACTATTTTTCTCGCAGTGTCGTAGTTTTTGCATCTCGCTTATTTTAAACGCGTATAGCCGCAAATATTAATGTACAATGAAACGTTAAATGCGCAACGTTCCTACTTACACTACTTTCCTATAGCATCCTATATAATAAATTTTTGCGTAGATATTCAGTTGTATAATTAATTAATATCGATTATTTTCTAATATAATTAATATAATAAGTTAATATCGATTTCGAAAACGTATTTCACTTCTGCGATTTCAAGTTTCGAACTCATTTAAATATGCAACAAATTCGAATTCGCTTCTCTTCAAGATTCAATGGACCAAGTACGATATAGGACACGTAACAAACAAATTATATCTTCTTCTTCTTTCGATTAAACTTGAAAGTAGGTATTAAAGAAAAACGTGACATATTTCAAAGAAGATTACCTTTTCAGAGCGGCGTTATTTCCACTGTATAATTTCCTAATAAAAGAGAATCATAAACGGTGCGCAGCAATTTCAGCGCGTTCCCGGCTTAGCCGGCGGATTTAATCGTTTCATCTAAATTATAATTAATGCTTCTAATCTCGGGGCCAAAGGTGTCTAGCGGGCAAGGCAGCGAGGACGGATTTCAACCGTAACGTCGTGCCGCTGCCGCTTTGCCGCGGACAATTTTGCGTTTTCGCGGACGACAAGTCGCGGGCTTCTAACGCGAATTCGAAGCCACTTTGCTGTCTCTCGCGCGGCTTAATTATGTTAGCCGCAGCGCGAAACGTAGTCGCAGCGCGAATCCGCTTTGATCTTTCGCCGTGTAGCCGCGCTCTGATTGTGACAGGCCCGAACAGAAGCGGACAGAAGATCCGCCAGACGCGGATACCCCGTTTGTTTTGTTGTGTTAGGACCACGGTCACGTGTGTACACGCGGAAACCAGGCAATTCCGAGAGTTTCCACCCGACGTGATTAAAATTTCGTTAGGAGGTGTTCGCGTGTCAGCGACTGATTCGACTGGCTTCTCTCTGTGCGCCTTCGTGACGTTCGCAGTTCCGCGTTTGTGCATGTTTGATAGAACGGCCGCGAGGGAAATGGTCTTCTTTCCACGGCGAACCGACAGGAATTCTTCTTGCGGCTACCTCGTCGCAACGGTAGATTTATGAAACGGTTCAGCACCAACTAGGAGCTTCAGAGCGTACAGAGTCGAAGGGCAATCTCGAAGGCAAGTCTCCTGGAGGATTTGAACCACAGACAACGGTATTGTAACTGAGCTTGTTGCTATATCGTTTGACGCGTTTCAGAGTGTTCTCGATTTTTACATGACAATTTAATTCAATAGGTTTCTAATCGGTTTAATAGGTTTCTATCGTCTCGAACGTTTCAAAAATATCCTGTCCCTGTTTCACTTTGTTTCCTCACAAAATCTTCTAAATTTATCCACTTTCAAATCTTCCACTTTTCCGATTAGATACATCGTTCTCGTTTTCAACGATCGAACGAGATACCAAAATCGGACAAATTTACGAACACGAACTTGCAATTATCGATACCTGGCATAGCTGAAAATGCCAGAATTTGAGAGCCTTACAAATTTTGTCAACGCTCTGCTCTTGTGTCTCGTTGCCTGACAGCGGCGTTTCTCCTCGTTGCAAGCGAGCGTCGCTGGAATTCCTCGCACGACGCGGACTTACGAGTTTTACCGATTGGTATTCTCCGGCGTGGCTCCGCGAACGCAAGAGCAGTTCAAGGAAAAAGAAGAATCCGAATCAGACGAAGGAAGGAGGGCGAACGGTAGTGACGGGGGTGAGTTTGAGAGGAAGAGGACTCGAAGAGCGAGAGAAAAGAAAAAAAGAGAGAGAGAGAGAGAAAAGGAAACGGGACGAGGAGGAATTCGCAGATAAGCGCGAACAGTTCGTTCCGGACACGAGAACGTTCCGATCGACGGCCGTAAACTTCGGAATAGTTGTCGGAATAATTAGCCTGACTCTTTCACCGGAAGCTGGAGGGGAGGAGCGCGAGTAGTCGGTTGTCGGGGCATGCTGTCGGAAAACTGGGCGACGATGGGGTTACGGGGCGTGTAGGGGCGATTGGGAGGATCGGTGGAAGGCACGAGGGTAAGCATTGGAATAGCTCGTCGGGCGCGAGCCATTTAATTTCGTTCGTCGAAGATCTAATTACTTTCAATAGTTTGTTAATTTCATTTGACTACTTTGCTGCCATTAAATAATTATTACGGGCGGCGGTGGTGAGCGCGCCGGGGTGGCAAACGGCGACAACGGGGAATTGGAATGGAATGGCGGGCAGGAATACGGAAGGTGGTGCGTTTGGCGAGTCGTTTTCGCACGCTCTGTCGATCGGTCGATAGCGAAAAAGGATATGCGAGGGGATATGCAATATACGTACATACATACGCCGAGGTTTAATCGGACCGTGCTGTTTGGAATTGAATGGATTTCATGGCCCTAGAAACGATTCTATCGTCGTGTAATGGGTTGCGCGCTAGCCTTTTGTTTCGACATGTTTGCCTCGATGTGGGACGATGTCCTTTGTTCTTAAATTTTTTCAGGTTTTTTTTCGATTGTCGGCGTCTTTTCTGGTACTTTGCTACTTGCCAGTCCGATGATCGCCATTTCGATCTCTCTCTCTCTTTTTTGGAACGTAAGAATACAAGAATTCTGGAAGTTTCTAAAAAACGAGAATTGCTTGTCGTTATCTAGAATAACTGGAATTTTAGAAAATCGTAGTAGGTGAACGTTGGACAAAGATTATGTTTTCGCAAGTATGGGTACTTTTGTCTCCTTTGATCATATCGTAAATTTCTGTTTGCAATTTTGGAGCAGCCTGTAGCAAAGATTTTGCCGGTTCGCGCGAGCACGTGCATGCAGAAGACAGAGACACCGTGCGAAGCCGCGCCATTATATCTATATCGAGTTATAATAGCCCTCGTGTTAAATCGCATGAGAGCCAAATCGCTTGGAACTAACGTCGAGTATCCCCGATCTTCTCTTTCTCTCTTCCTCCCTATCCTCTCGTTAC